GCGGTTTATTACCTAAGTAGAACTCTAACAGAAGTGGAAAGAAAATATTCTGCCATTGAAAGACTTTGCCTAGCCTTGTACTTCACTGCTGTAAAGCTCAGACATTACATGCTGCCATACACCATCTATATCATTGCCAAAACAGATCTGATCAAATACATGCTAACAAGACCAATGCTAAGAGGCAGAATTGGAAAATGGACCTTGGCCTTGACAGAATTTGCCTTCAGATATGTTCCTCAGAAAGCCGTCAAAGGACAAGCTGTGGCAGACTTCCTAGCAGATCATCCCGGAGAGGAGATTGAAAATATGGACTCTTTAGACATAGCAAATGCAGATCTATTAACCAGAGCTCACACCTGCCATCTACTCAGTTCATCTCGCACCTTGGAAGTTGTACTTTGATGGATCAAAAACTGATATAACTTCAGGGGCAGGAATTGTCTTGGAAGAACCACTTGGAATCAGACACTGCTATTCTTTCCAATTGGATTTCCAATGCACCAACAACAGGGCAGAATATGAGGCCTTAATCATTGGCTTAGAAATACTGGTAGAACTAGGAATCCAATCTGTGGAAATTCTGGGAGATTCCATGCTAGTTTTGAAACAAATTGCTGGAGAATACAAGTGCCTAAGCCCTTCTTTGGCTGTCTACTTGGTGGCAGCTAGGAATCTTCTGACAGAATTCAGAGAAGCCACTTGGGAACATATCCCAAGGGAAGAAAATTTTGCAGCCAATGAATTGGCCCAGGTGGCAACAGGCGTACAAATGCCCGAAGACTGTGTACAAAGAATCATCAGGATAGGAAAGAAAAGCCTACCATCTGTTCTGGCCAGAGGGATGGAGATAGATGTCAATTCTGCCACAATTGCTGAAGATGATTGGAGAAATCCTATCATGACCTATCTACGATATCCAACTTTGCCCTCTGAGAAGAGAGTCAGAATCATGGCTTTAAACTACCTTATGTGGAATGAAGATTTGGTCCGAAAGAGAAAGGATGAGGTGCTTTTAAGGTGCCTCGAAAAGAAAGAATACATGAAAGTTATGGGGGAAACCCATGAAGGAATCTGTGGAGCACATCAAGGTGGGAGAAAAATGTGCTGGTTAATTAGGAGATATGGCTACTTCTGGCCAACCATGATGAAAGATTGCATTAACTATTCCAAGGGGTGTGAATCTTGTCAAAGACACGGCCCAGTCCAGCAGGCTCCATCAGTTCCCATGAATCCAGTGGTAAAACCATGGCCCTTGAGAGGATGGGCAATGGATCTCATTGGTAAGATCTATCCAGCCAGCAGCCAGCAGCACTGCTTTATCATTGTTGCCACAGACTATTTCACTAAGTGGGTGGAAGCCAAGGCTGTTAAATCTACTACATCTCAAGAGATCATCACTTTCATAGAAGAGCAGATTATCCAAAGATTTGGCATCCCAGAATCAATCACAACTGATAGAGGATCCTCCTTCATATCCGTCACTTCCTTGCGCAACTTTGTCTTAAATAAAGCAATATTGAATATCCATGTCTTTAAGAAGTGTATATCTTTTATTATTTTGTTCATATATATATACAACTTATGAAATTCTTCGCCATATAAATAGTTATTACACGAAAGTACTCCAATAAATCCTTCTGTGTATTAAATTTGGAACCTTTTTTTTTTTTTTTTTTTGGTCTGAACCACGAGGTGGTCCTGGATGGGCTCCAACTATGGATGACACCTTTAAGCCTTAACCACAACCCAGACTAATCCCCGTTCACACCGGATGGCACCTTGGAACCTTTTTTACTAAGCCTGCAGATAAACAAATGCACTAAGCAAGCTACACTTATAGTGTTGTATTAAGAACAGAGAAATTACAAAAAGAGGAATTAATTTTGCTCCTACTGTGCAAGCAAAATTGGATTAACCCTCGATATCGCTCATAAGGTAATCCTCGAAAAGCCTAAGTTGATCTTCAATACTTGTGCCCTGCTGACCGTACTGTGCAAGCAAAGCTGGATTAACCACGGTGTCCTCTTCACCCTCGACATCGTTCATAAGGAAATCCTCAAGAACCCTAAGTTGATCTTCAGCACTTGTGCCAATCATGTCCTGTTGATCGTACTGTGCAAGCAAAGTTGGATTAACCATGGTGTTTTGTTCACCCCCGACATCGTTCATAAGGTAATCATCCAAAAACCTAAGTTGATCATAAGTACTTGCGTCAGTATGTTGCTGCTGATCATCATGCACATGCTGGGCCTGGATTTCTCCACGGGAAGCCATGTCAACTTCATGATTTTGTCGTTCTTCTAATTTGCTTTTGCCCGATGTTTCTTTCTTTCTAACAAGACAAAGAACAATTGTCTCTTTGTTTGGCACTTGCACGAGAGATTCATGAAGCTGGAACTCAAGCATGATCCAACGGTCATCGTGGGGCGAACCAGGGTTCATGTACCGAAATCGCTTTCTGGTGCCAATATCATTCCCACAAGCACGTATTTTCTTGCCGGAGTCTTCTCCTTTCCAAACTCCGGTACCGGCGGCGCCAACTGTTCTGCAAAACCGCGAGCCATTTGGAGTCTTCTTCTTGAGTGTGGTGAAGACGTAGATGTCTTCTTGATCATCTGGTGATGAGTGGTGGAAATCTCTCCATATCTCCCATGGTTCTTTTGTACCGTAGAGATCGCAGTCAGGAACAACACCTTTAGGATAGTCGTTTCCATTCACTCTGGGGAGAAGGTAGTGAAGAAGTAGTTCTTCTTCTGAAGGCGTGAACCTGTACCCAACTGGAACTTGATAGCCACCCATACTTATTTCTTAACTAGGGTTTCTAATTAATGATGCGCAGTAAGAGAAAAACCAAAGGCTGCAAGTGAGGGAGCAACTAATTATTTGGGGTGTATTTATAGTGGTTGAAGTTCTTGTAACCCAAGTTCAGGTTCCGAATTATTTGGGTAATTATTTTGTGGACTAATCAGGACTTGACATGTAAGGCAGATTGAGATAAATGAGCATATATACCGGGTGTATTTTGTTGCAGATAATTATGCCAAGGAGAATAAACTAAATCATTGATTAGATAAAGATAAAATTTTAGATAATTTGAAAAAATTTCTTAGATGAAGATATGATTTTAGATAATTTGAAAATTCAACTATAAGGATCATATAGATATATACATGAACAAACGCCTCATAGACTGGCCATCTGATATATTACATGATCAGGTGAAAACCGAGTCCAACAAGAAAGGAAGGATCCTTGAAATATACGTCAAAGATTTGGAACAATATCAGAAAGACCAAAAATTGGGCATTGACGGTGGATTGCCATTTAATTTATTGTCAAGCTGAAAGAGTACTGGTTATCCAACAACGAAGGATTTGATTGAGACTAGAAAATTTTGGAAAAATCAGTGGAAAGACCATGGTAAATTCTGTGATCTGCTTGCTGAAGACTACTTCAATTTAGCATTCAAGTTTTATGAAGACATTAATGTGACAAATATGCTTGAGGGTGCTGGAATTTCAGTTGGGATTGATTTTGATCGTTCAAGTGATAAGGAAAAAGACTAACAGCTTCGCAAATATAGTGTGTGTTATAATGGAATGTTTGTTTGGGAAGTCCGATTTTGCTTCAAACATGAGGGCCCAGGATATGTTTCAGAACTGTAAAAGGACAATAAATACATATGACAAATTTTCTCTTACGATGCCACCTACAATAAAGGTAAATACCAAATTGTGCTTTCCGAGTTCTATGTTGTAATCACACATTTATAAATTGCGTATGTGATTGTAGAAATGTGATGGTGGAGACGATGATGATGGTGGTAAGACTGCTACTATAGGTGATTAGCCCAAGCGATGAGCACAAAAGGCTGGTGATGGTGGTGAGCAAGTTAAAGTTCTAAAAATATTTTTTCAATTTTTTCAATATTTTTTTAATGTTTGTGTTATGTTGATGTTTCCAGGTCTGAACTTGAGTCACATAACAAGGCCAAGCATAGTGTTGAGGGTGATACCTTAATTTTGTGAAGGTTTTGGTGGTGATCGGTTGTGGTTTTATATGTTTAAACCTCCAGGTTTTTTTTTTTTTTTTTTTTTTAATTTTTTTTAAAATTTTTTTTTTTTTTTTTTTTTTTTTTTTTTAGGTTTTTTTTTTCTTCTTAAATTTGGGCTAGGCGAACACCCAACCTCACACTAATTGGGTCAAATTACTCTTGGTTTACATTGAACTTGTATGCTTAATGCCGGAATACTTGCTCTACTCCTCGTGAGCCTTGATTGCTATGGCTAATGTCTGAACGAAAAATTGACTTGCAATAACCCTCATAGCTAGTCATAGTCCAATTTCCTGTAAGCTTCTACAATCTGCCTGTAGTGTACAGAAAGTGCTTGCTCTATGAACCCTTACTAGTTTTATAAGCCGCAGCATTGGAATTTCCTTCTTGATTTGATATAAAAATGTGACATTGATCTCCATCTTCACTTTTATGCCGAGGCTGCAAACTGTGTGCGCTGCGCTGCCATAGAAATGGTTACAAGCCATGATTCTGCCAATATCTTTAACTTAACATTCAAGGCCAAACACATGTACAATAATTTATGTATGTATATTTTTAAAATCATTAGAAAACACTATACAAGCTACTCATATGTAGAAAAGAAAATAATATTATATAAATGAATTGAAAAAAAAAATTCAAACCTCTATACATAATCAGGAGATTTGGACCTCATCGTGATCAAGGCTATAGCCTTTTGAAAGTGAGAACCTATCATCTCAGGTGAAACATTTTAAGTCATGTAGATTTGTCCTACTGAACTTTATAATCTTGGTCGCTTATGTATGTTCCTGCGGAAGCCTTTGCTTTTCATCTGCTACGAGTATATACACCTGCAATGAGAGAGAGAGAGAGAGAGAGAGAGAGAATTAATATATGTTGACAGATTTTCTTCTCATAGTCATTGGCTCATTGCTGAGAGAATTATCTCATATGAAAATGGAAGTATATTAAGCTCCATTATACTTACAGAGTTAAGGTTGAAATTAGAGCTCTATGTATGCAAAACATTACACTGGTACAGGATCTTGTTCGGGGATTTCCTTTCCTGTAATTCCATATCTTTCAAAGTTTTAAAGTAAACATTGTAGTCCTTCTCGGGGGGTTGGATTTTGAGGGTCCACTGTAAATGGCTCACTAAATGGCACAACACTTTTAACCTGCAAATGAGTTTATTAGCATCTCAGAATCTGCAAAAGCTTTTAACTTCCGAAAGTAGCAAATTACAGCCACAGCACAGAGCACACAATTAAGGGACATAAGTCGGGCTGTGACCTCAAGTGTCTTGCCAGATGCATAAGGGCTTTCCTACGCAGCAACACAATCTGAGCAACCTCCTCTCTGAAGAGAACGACAATCAAGCAAAGAATCCCACTATCTCAAGTCAACCTCCCTTCACAACGTGATTGGTACAATTTATGTACAAATCCCTGTAATCATGTATTTTCCTCTTTTGTTATAGTTGACCACCGCTAGAATCCTGTATATATGGTGTATCTCAACATGAATCAAAGTATCGAGTGATTCAACCCAAACTTCTCACGTCTATTTTACTACATGGTATCACAGCTCTACAGGAGCTAATGCTCAAGACTCGATCCAACAGTTCCTATGGCCATCGATGAAGGCTCGCCTATCCCTTCTTCTGTCAATTCTCAAACCTCTTCCCAAATTTCTCAAACCTCTCAAAATTCTATCCTTTCCATGTCAGCCACAATTCCAACCTCCTTCAATATCTCCCACATATTCAATACACCTATGGATCGTAACAATTTCCTCTCCTGGAGAACGCAATTTCTTGATGTCATGGAAATCCATGACTTGGAGGATGTCATGAAGAATGAAAATCGTCCTGCTAAAAGGCTTGAGGATGGCTCAATCAACCCCACCTATGCCAAGGACAAATTAGTTCTCAGCTAGATAAAAGCAACCGCATCTCTCTCTATTAAAACCCTCCTAATCTCTTGCACTTCAGCATACGAAGCTTGGACCCTCCTTGAAAAGAGACTCTCGCCACTGTCCAAAACTCACCTACGCACTCTGTGATCAAATTCGTAGCCTGAAGAAAGAACCAGAAAAAGCAATGACACAATATTGCGGTGGTCAAAAGGTGGTGCATTTGATACAGTTCTTGCTCGAAATATCAGCTTCAAAGAAGAATCGCTAGTCAGTAGGCTTAAAGAACAAAATAAAAGAACCAGACCCACCCTGGCACCCAGATCCGCCTAGGGCTGCCTAGATCCGCCTGGACCCGCCTAGCACCGCCTAGACCCACCTAGCGCCGCCTAGACCCGCCTAGACCCTCCTAACGCTGCCCAGACCCGCCTACCAACGCCTAGCGCCGCCTACACATGCCTAGAGCAGCCCAGACCCCCCCAGCCCGCCTAGGCCGATTTGTCCTACAGAATCTTGGTCGCTTATGTATGTTCCTGTACAAGCCTCTGCTTTTCATCTGCTACGAGTATATACACCTGCAATGAGAAAGAGAGAGACAGAGAGAGAGAGAGAGAGAGAGAGAGAACTAATAT